ATACTTAGGCTTACACATCCTGTCACCTTATGTGTTCATCATTACCGAATGGGAGTTAAGCACACTTATTAAAAAAAGAGACCCCTTCTTTTGTCAGCTCTATTAGCTATCTAGAAATTACAGGCTGAAAATAGCGCAGTTATTGGCCGCTGCTTCCAGTAAGAGGAAGAGAAGCCCATCAAATAGCATTTATACAAAAACAATTATTAAACATTTATATTATGGAAGGGGCCAAAGGCTCCAGCCAGGAAAAGACAACCTTTGAGTAAGGTGATTTTTTTTCTGTGCATATTTTTAATGTAGCCTATTTTTTTCCTCCTCTTCTCCTTTTTTTTTTTTTTTTTTTAGAACTACTGTCAAAGCAGTGGTTGCTCAAGGAAATCCAAATTCCTCATTTAATTTTCCATTTCAGGGATGGACAGTCTGGAAAGGTAACTGTGGATGATTATGGTGCTAGAACTGGTAAATCACCTGGAATGATGAGGCAGTTAAACATCAACGGAGATCTGTACGTAGGTAAGTGACCCCCATTTGTAGCCAGCCCATTCTAGCCTGCTGAAGCATGTGAGGCCAGATCTGATGAAAAATGTCTTGCAAATGTCTTGAAAGTGTGTCTAACTCTGTCCTAACTATGCAGTTGGTCCAATAACAGGTGTCATGCTAAGAAAGCCTTACTTCTTGCATATTTAAACAAAAAAACTACATACCGCATCATAGTCCCTTCTTAACCATTGACTCATTGTAGAATGTGCAAGAAAGGGATTACCTTTCCCATTTACTGTGGTGTGATCATCACCATTGGATTTCTGAGTGCCTAACAAATGATACTTAAAAACCAGCAAGAATCTGGTTAAAACCCAGAAGATGCATTGGAGATGACCTTTTCTGTTACACAAGATATACCGCTAAGAAACTTAATACAGCAGTAAGAGGCATACTTTTTAAAACAGGAGTAATCATGGACATGGGTGACTGGCCACCTTAGTCAGGGGGGCACATGCCCCCCCAGTGACTGGGTCCCCCTGTGGCAAAACTCACCGACCAGGAAGTGGCCGCAGCATTACTTCTGGCACTCCCACCCCCCAGCCGGCACTCACGGGGGCACCGGTGCTCCCACCTGTGCCCCCTTCCCATCACCTAAGCAGGGAGTGTGGCCTGTCAGGGGGTGCACCAGCGCTCTCAGGGGGTGCACGTGCACCCCCTTGCACCTCCTACATGTCGCCACTGAGCATGGCTTCTGTTACAGAGTTCCTTATTTATTTGATCTCTCTCTCTTAGGTGGCATGAAGGAAATAGCATTGCACACAAACAGACAGTACATGAGAGGTCTGGTGGGATGTATCTCACACTTCACACTGTCAACAGATTACCACATTTCACTGGTGGAAGATGCTGCTGATGGAAAGAATATTAACACCTGTGGGGCAAAGTGACGGAGGAATCCTCACGTGGAAGAACCATTGTTGTGCGGGTGTTTGAGTCTGGAATGACTGATATGACTCTGAGGCAAATGCTCTGTGTTCGTCATGGAAGAACAAACAAAACTGAGAGGAAATCATAGACAAGGAGAACATTTTCCATTCTCCTTTTCTTTCAATGCTCTTCTGACTAAACCAAACTGAGTATTTTGTGTAGGAAATGTCACATTAATCATTAAATGTTTAGTGAACACTGAAGATTGTATATCGAAGCAAGCGACAAAGAAAGGGGTAATGTAATGAATAGTTTAATGACTGTGTTGTGATCCATAGAGATTTTTTTATATCCAGCATAACAGTACTGAAACATATGCGTTCTTTCCAGCTTACAATGGCACAATGATTGTAGCATCAGCAAACATATTTTCAAGCACTGTATCTATGCATTCAAATTCCTATTCCGGAACAAGCCGTTCTACCCACTGAAATATACAAGGTTTGTATTTCATCCTATGTAAATAACACCAATAGGCAACAGTTTCAAACCACCTTTGTTTGCTGAGGAAGAAAATTCTTAAAGTCTACTTTTTTTATTACAAAAGCAACAATATCAGCGATCCAGTTTTGTAGCAGTAATTTTGTACTTGTATATTTTTTATAGCTGCAGCGGCAGAACTGATCACATAGTATAACTTTTAAAATATAGGTGTACTATACACTTAGCTCTTTGCACAGTTTCCTAAGGATAACAACCTTCAAGTTGTTCTCTAAGGAAGTTTGATGTCTGTATTATACCATTTCTGTGGAGATATTTGTCAAGGATAACCAGTTTTAAATCTGACATTTTTTTTGTAAATTTTGACAGTCTGAAGTTGTACATTTATGAAGCTTTCCTGGCATTGAAGCTTTTCCTGTGATTAAAAAGGTATAAAACCTCTTGCCACTGTGGTATTTCACCGTCACTTGTTTTTGTGCACAAAATTCAGACTTGGTGAAAACCATATGTCCTAACGGATGGTTAAAGCCCTTTTAAAATTGCCCATGCATCAATGCAAACCTGCGGAGCTGGAGTTTTAGGATCAACAGAACAGGGAATGTAGAGTGTTGGACAGAATTTCAGGCTTTTTGAGATTGTTTTTGTTAGTTTCTCTGTGCTTTCTGCATATAAGCTGGAGCAGTAAGCAGCAAACAGGAGAAAAAGATGGAATGGAACTGGGGTGGACCCAGGATTTGCTAAAGGGGGTACAAGAGCAGCAGCCCATACTGCGTGGGGTAGCTCCATGCACTGCTCCAGGCCTCCTTTGCCCTTGCAGCGTGAGCAGACCAAGCTGTGGAAGAGAGTCTCTGAGGACTATTTTGACCCTCTTTCCTGCTCAGAGGCATGTCTTTTCCCCTCCTCTTCTCCTCTCCCTGCCCTCCCTTGCCTGCTGCTGCTGCTGCTGCTACTGCTTTCTCCACCATTCGGGGGGGTGGGGAAGCTCCACAGCCAACCTGCCTGAGTTGGGGCTAGGCTCAGCTTGGAAGGGGACAGTGACAACGGGGCAGCTGGAGAGTAGTTCCCCCTACCCTGCTGTATCCCAGAGCAGACACACTGCCACTCTCTGTGCCCCCAAATGAGCCTGGTCCCTGCACAGAAGGCAAGAATGAATCTTGTGCTTCCCTATCCCTAGGACAACAGAGAAAGGCAGGGGGAAGGGACAGGAGGGGGACATGCTGTTGTGCAGGAAGGTGGAGGGAGGGGGATTTTTGCCTGCTTTAGGGATTGTATAAAGGTCTTGGGGGTTCCTGTGGTGCTCTCCAAACGAAAAGCAGGGTGCAGCCACATCACTGCACCCCCTCTGGATGCACCCTTGGGCAGAATACATTGCATGTCTTACAGGTCACCATAGGGCAGTACCTCAGGGACCCGAACCAGGCTGCTAGAATCAGTGCTGTCAGCTAGTAGGGTTCTGACAAAAATATAGCACTGCATCTATTTGCTGGGCTGTGGGTGGGCAGCAGATAGGAACTTGCGCTTATTCCCAGAAGATGGTACAATGATACACAGTGACTCAAGCAGATCCCTGGCCCCACTAAATTAACTTCTAACAAAGGGATAGGTCTGATCAAAATGAAGCAAGCAGAAGACACGCTACCGCAGAACACTGATTATGAGTCATTGATTTATTACTAGGGATCCTGGTTCTCTCTGATAAAAAATATCCCCAATTTTCAAATTAAAAAAAGTAACCTAATATCCACATTTTTCCATGATTAAAATGAAACACCACTGTATCTATATCTATATATTAGTGGCATTTCATTTTAATCACAGAAAATGTGAATTTTTTAAATCTGAAAATTGGGGATTTTTTTATCCGAGAAAACCAAGATCCCTGTTTATTACCATAGTGCCTAGGAGTGCCAGTCACAGATCAGGATCCCCCTGTGCTAGATGTAGTACATGATGGAGCAAAAAGATGGAGCCTGCCCCAGGGGAGACTTAAAGTCTAGGTATAAGACAAGAGACAACTGGTAGATACAGATAGATGCACCACAGAAACAATTCATAGCAACAGGTATGAGTATGGCAGCAGCCTAGCTAAATGCTGTCAGGTTTTCTGTAGGCACCATGGTGAAGGAGGGCTTGAAGGGAAGATAATGAGTGCATATGCTTTTGGGAAACTGAAGGAAAGGGGTAGTTAGCCCTGTGAAGGAGAAAGCATAAAGAAGATTAGTTCACAATCTCTGATGGGTTATGGGGGTTGGGTTGTTTTTTTTTTCTTTTCAGCTGGGAGAGACCAAGGCATGTTTGTATCATGAGGGGGAAGAGCCAACCAAGAATGACAGGGTAATGAAGGAGTAAGAGAGGAAGTAAAGGCGATGCTGGAGGTGACAAGGCAGAAGAATGAGGTTGCTGGAGAAAAAGGAAGGATGAGGGAAAGAAGACAGATGAGCACCTTCTGCTTCTAAAATACTAAGTTATATAGAGGCCTCTCAGAAGAGAATGAACTTCAAGTACACGCAGCATCATGCGCCAGTTGCTGAGGTTTCCTTGGCGGTTTATTATGAACCTGGATGTGACAAGTGACTTGGAACGTTCCCTCCACGCTACACACGTTATACCATGCATTAAGAGTGCCGTGGCTGCCGTTAATGTGTGGGCTCCCCGAGGCACGCCTGTTTGGCAGGCACTATGTAATTCTTCATTTGCGGCAGTCACCTTTCCTGCCTAATGCCGTTGTTGCCTATGGTTTACAGTTCTCCTTCTCATAAGTACAGCGTGTGGTGCCAAACAAAACATAACTGGCACGAAGGTACACACAGCCTCGTGGGGCCAGGCTTCCCTGGAAGCAGGGGCTGGCAGCGTGCCACCTCCTTCTGCAACAGGAGTCGTGCCAAGGGGTTGGGGTATAGCCCAGCGGAGAGGCCTGTATCTTGACAGTCAGAAGCCTAAATTCTCCTTTCAGCTGCTCAGCAGCAAATCTCATAGGTGTGTCACTTACTGAAGCAGGATCGACTCACGGACGCTGAATACTTCCTCTGGAAAACTGTAACTGTGCCAGGGGTCTGTCTCCGTGACTAACCTCACCTACACTGCCCCCTTTTAGAACAATCAGAATAACGGCAAACCATTTAGCTTTTATTGGGAAAAGAGCTAGAATGAGCTTTGGCTCGCATGTGCACACGAAATCCCCAAGGCGGGAGGAGCAGGCGTGATGGGCCCTGGGAGGTGCTCGGAAGGCAGGGCCGTGCTTCGGGGGGGGAGAGCAGGGCCACGAAGCTGTGAAACTGAAAGCATAAAAAAACCTGCTGGGTGCAGACCAGTGCTGCCACCTCCATCATAGTCATGGTGGGCAAAAGATATTTGAGCACTTCCATGCTGCAGCCAAAGCCTCCAGGCAGTAGGTGTGACCACAGTGCCACATGCAGGAGGCCAGGACGGTACAGGCACACCTGCTCTGCACCTCACTGGTGAGCGGGCTGCATTCGCCCAAGTGATGCTGACTCCTCACATGGCCCTTGTCCCATTCTCTCTCATGGCCATGCTGAAACCCAAGCCCCGTGTAAGTGCTAGAGCTTGTAGTAAGTGCCTGTGTGCTGCCTAGGCAAATGAAGGCTAAACAGGATCTGGTCTTAGGTGTCCTGCTGACTTATTCCCATTACATATCAGCTAAACTACTCTGTCTCCTCCCGCACCAGGCTGTCTTCTCAAAGAAACCTTGCACTTGTTTTTTTGCTGACTCTCAGTACTCTCATGCTCACCTTGTTTCCCCGCATCCCTAGCTGCCTCTTTGAAGACTCACTCTTGCCCCTTTCCAAGTCAAAGGCCTGCCCACGGCCCTCAGGTGCACTTTCAGTACACCTACCACATCAGACCCTGCCAGGGGGATAGGTATCTTTTCCACTTGGTTTAAGAACCTGCTGCCGGGCCTCTGGGCCTTTGCCTCGAGCCAGAGCTGTAAGAAGCAAATTCATGCTGGGGGTGAAGACATCAGTCAAATGCCACAAGTCAGAAGGCCAGGGAATGTCTACATGGCAGTGTACCAGCATGAAGGGGCTAACCTGATTTTTAACCATGTACCTGCTCTGAAAGAGGCCTCTGATTGACTTCCTTAAAACTCTCAGTGGCGCCTGAAAGATAGACATAGGTACCTCAGTATCTGGAGGGATCTGGGCCTGAAAGATCATGGCTACACAGAAATGCTGTGGTAGAGCAGGAAAATGAACCCTGATGTCTCGGGCTCAAAAAAGCCAACCACCAGGCTAACCTCCTTCCTCTGCAAATTACTGGGAACAACCTTCCTATATCAGACCCCCTCCTCTCTTTTTCATCTCTCCCTTTCATTTGAAAAACCATTTGGCAGCCAACAGCTTGTCCTCTGCTACCTTTGCGGGACAGAAGCTTCGTGCCAGTGCTTTTCCACCCCCGTCTGAAGTAACCAGAGTTTCCTGACATGAAGGAATAGCAAGGACTCGGACAAGGGGCAGAGAAGAAAGGCGCCTGCATGAGGGAAAACAGGGTGGTGACGCTGAGAACGCTTCCTCCACAGAGCTGCTACTTGTCTTGCCTCTCAAAAGTCACAGGTGTTTTCTCCTTCTTGGCACATCCTGGCTCACTGGCACCTAGCATATGCTTCAGTTTTTAGGGACAGTCACTTGGAAATTAGCTGATCATTAAGGGTTCATCAAAGTTCACCCAACAAGTAGCCTAGAAGAACTGCAGGAAAGGAGATCAGCCAGGCAGGAACTTGAACCAGGAATTAGGCTTAAGCATGCCCTTTGTGTGCATACTGCCTCAGAGATCTGCCTGTAAATACACATAGATAAAACACCAATGCCACAAGCTTGGATTTTATAAATCATTCACATCGTCTTGGTAAGCAAAATATTTCAGCCCACAAATGTGCTGTCTTTGCCCACAAACAGCCCTGCCACAACTTCTGGGAATAGCTCTGTTAGGTACATCATACAGAAAAAAGACAGCCCTTTTGTGCTAGGAACTAAAAGTTTCTAGAGAGTAGCCCCCTGCCCCCCCCCCCAACTCTGCCATATTTTCTGGTGAGTGCAAAGAAAGGATGAACAGCCTGCATAAGAACAAATCTGTAACTAATTTTAAGAGCAATTGCTTTGTAGTGGGAAAGCCAGGGCTTTCCCCCTCAGGTTTACAGCTTCCAACATTCCCAGCTCTAGCAAGCTGACCCTCCGGCCCTCCCACTCGCCCCACACCAGCGAGACTATCAGGCAGTACTCTCGCCTGCCCTAAGGAATTTCATCAGTGAAAAACAGCTCAGTTCTGGCATCACTAGTGAGATAAACTCCAAACTAACCTCCTTCTTCATGAAAATCATCCCCATGTGGTTGCTGTTATAAAATCAGCAACTGCAATTACCTATTTGTAGTACAGGAAAACTAGAACTCATTCCACTGTGTGGGAAGTGTTGGCAAATGTCAGCT